GAGTAGAATACTATATACTATATATTTATATTATATATTTATTGGTGAATATGTCATTAGATATCTCGGCATGGGTTGTTCCTATGGCGTAATGGTGATTGTGCATTAAAAAATGTTCTTTTTGTGGCTGGACAATTATAAAAAGATCTATGCCTGTGGCTATCTTAAAACTGATTACAGCAAATCACAAGAAGCAAACCTTTTAGTGACAATGCGGCTCTTTCCAATGAGCTAATAGCAGCCGGATCGCCTCCAGAGCAGATCTGTTGCAGGAATGTGTCAGCATGATGATTCCACAAGCAGCAGGCAAAAGTGTAGATTTCTGAAGCTAGCTAAAATGTAAAAAAAAAAATATATCAGCAAACGCAACATCTGAGGCAAAAGTTTGTCATTTCTTTAGTGCAAGTCTGAAAAGAAAGCTGTAACTGATGGGCTACTATTAACACAAACAATTTTTACGCCTGGGGCCCCATGATCTAACAGCAATCCAAAAGATAGCTCGCTATACGGTTTATAGAATTCTCACAGTGAATGACCAAAAATGCCCAAGGACAGATCTGATCTCTTGCAGAAAATCAATAAGCATTGGTTTCCACTGTATGGGCAACGAAAACATTTCTGAACACATTAGATCATGAAGCCTCCCTACCGTGTCCTGCGTTGTCCATAGTAGCATGCTTTAAACTTTAAATTTCATACCTGATCTGCAAAGATGGCATAATCAATCACAGAATATAGTTCTAAGATTTATTAAGCCCTGATGAAGTGGGATTTTCAAAGCCACCTGTATTGAACCAAGTTTGTGACCAGTAATTTGCTTTGGGACTATAAGAGTAATATAACACTCTTCTTCTTACATGCATTGGCATAGTGCTCCAAAGGCCTAAGCATCACCCCAGTCTGAACACCCAATCTAATCCAGGGATCTAGCGCTCCTTGTACAAGCTATCTTTTTGGAAATAACTACTAACTTTACTTTCAGACTAAATTTGAATAAAGCTACATAGGTTTGTGTCATCAGCAAAATGGCAACACTATTATCTACTTCATCCTCCAAATTATTAATTAATAACTTGTAAAGAACTGGGCACAGTATCGATCCCTATAGTACACCAATGCTAACCTAACTGACAGTTACAATCTCTTTTTCATTCCATGCCACTTCGTAGTACAGATGTGTGTTAAAATGCTTGCTTTTTGGCAATACGGTTTTATTTGATGAATGAGGCTAATATTATGTTAGTAAAATGATTTAAATAATGCCAGTTGCAAAAGGATACCTTGACAGCACCTGGGAGGTTACGATCTAAAAATTCCCCTGTTAACAAAAACTGTGAACAGAGATTTTGTCAAGCCCTAACGTACAAAGTTCGAAGTACAGAAAATGCCGACAGTGTACTTCAGGCGTTTCCTAAATCAAAGATAAATTGGCACTCAGCATTCAGTCACCTTACATTTGCTGGAAGATAAATCTAATGGAAACGCCAGCCAGGGAATTCTTTAGTGATACATTCCATGGAGTTCAAAGAATTAACCTGAAAAACTACCTTGTCCTTAAACCCCAGCAGAGTCTGTAAATTCTCTGTGATTTCACAAGAAGAAGTCACAGCGGGGAGGAAACCTCTTACGAGCGAGCGGCGCACTGGAAATACCAGACAATGCGCTCCAGACACTTCTCTTTTCATTTTTTTTTTTTTTTAAAGAAAAAAGGGGACACCGACAGATATCTGTGGATTCACTTTGTGAAATTAAAATGTCACCTTAATCGTAAATTGTTTATGTAAGTGAACTTTACTCCGTAGCAGAGGGGTCCAGCCAATCCAGACATGAATATCTGAGCTCGACAGATCATGTATAGCTCAAATGACATTGACAAATCTTAGGAAAACTATTTAGGATCTAGAAATAACAGTAAACAAAGAGATTGATCTCCTTCGATACCCAGATTGTTTTAGATCAGAGAAAGAAGACACAGGACAAATTTAAAGTGACACTAAACTCACGTGATAAGTCTTAAAAACGCATTCAGACACCTTATCTATTGACAAAAATGTATCTTATTTGTGTATCACTCGGCTGTAGATCCTCAAATCATCTCTGAATTGGTGCTGACACTGTCCTTTCTACTGGAGGGGGGCTACTTTTGTTCCCCATGGTACCTGTTTGTGTTGTAAAGTAGCCACCGCTCCAAGTTCACTCCCATGATGGACTACAATCTCAATACAAATTTGTAAACTAAACGTGCGATTGTAGTCCATCACAGGAGCGAACTTGGAGCGGTGGCACTTTACAACGCACACAGGGACCATGGGGAACAAAAGTAGCCACCCTCCAGAAGGAAGGACAGTGTCACCACCAATTTAGAGATGATTGATGCACAAATAAGATACATTGTTGTTATTAGTTAAGGTACTTGAATGTATTTTTATGATTTTACTCCTGAGTTTAGTGTCACTGTAAGGCTGGAGATATTGAAATATTTGATATAAAATGTTTCTGGACATTTTTCAATATACGGTCTTCCTTGTGTTACACAACAACTCCAGTTCAATATATTAAAGCAACCTTTGATTCACTTATGTATTCTATCAACTCACACAAAGTGATTTCGATTCTCCAGTACAATTACCTGAAACCCAACATAAGAGCGAGCTACTGCATGACGTGTGCAGGAAACCCGTGCTGATAGATAAATGTAAACTGCCATCAATGGCCTCCTACGGAAAGTGGTTATAGCCTTGTTGTTCGTTTCCTCTAAACTTTCTGAGTCACTGACCTGCAGCAAGCTGAGTCATTAATAAAAATCTGAATATTGTTCATGATCAATGTCCTTGGTTCAGTATGAATTCCAAGCAACTTGTACATTCAGAAGAAAAGGTCAGCAATGGCAGTCTTTATAATTATTTTATTTATTTTTTTATTACCCCTGTCTGTCCTAAGGTGGTTGTCTTCGCACAGCGAGGCAGGGAAGAATAACAGGCTGTTTGATCAGCACAATTATTAAACTTTTCTATGGACTCTAACATCTATTGTGGTCTACAGATCTTTTGTTTTTTTGTCCCCGAGTTGCTTCCAGTACCTCCTTTAGGAGACTCTGTGTCACTGAACTACAACAAGAAAAAAAGCACAGCGCTCTCTTGAAGGTGTGGGGCATGTGTGGATGTGATCAGTCTGGAGTGCTGCTCTAAGAACAGGAGGAGGAACCTGTGAACGTGGTGATGGAGCAATAAGAGCGCAAAATCCAGATGTGTGAATAGTGTAGAGACAGCCTGTCTCTGTGAGATTCGAATTAAAAAGGTGAACAAAAGTAGGGAACTTACTTGTGATGCCCGGGATCCGGGCGCGGGGGAGCGGCCCCGATGGAGGATCTGGCGATGCAAGGAGTGTTGTGTGAAGCTGTGGGTTTGTAGTGGCCACCTGATAAAGGAGTAAGGACAGAGCAGGACAGGTCCTATGGTCTGGACATGGCTGCTGGAAGTTTTAACGTCCGGCATGTTGGTAGGACAGGGGGTCATGGTGAAGTAGTCGGCAGATCAGGGGCTGTGTTTGCCGGAGGACTGGTGGTGAGGCTAGAGGGGTGGTTGGGCACTGGTCAAAAGGCTGTGTAGATTGTGTGTCTCTTGTCTTTGCGGCTGTATTTTTGGAAGTGCTGGAGTGAGGGCGGCAAGCGACCAAGGAAGGCCGTGCACGGGGCAGTGTTCAGTGTTCAGTGGTGAAGGAGCAACGCGTTTCGAGGAGGTCCTCTTTCTCAAGCTCAAAAGAAGAAGTGGGTAACATTGGCGGGAAATCCGCCGGGTTTAAAAGAGACCGGTGGGTAACTGAGCTGCCTAACCATAAGCGAATTAGCTACTTACAAATCAAATTGGGTGTATCATAAAGGATAGCAAGTGACTCCTCCCTGCACCTTGGAAATATTCACACAATTTGCAGTGCAGAATAAGGCTTGGTAAGATGGTGGAAAATCAGTGGCAGAGAGACCATAGGCAATGCTGTTGACTAGTCATTTGCCTTGCAATTTGCTCTTTTCATATTTCCTGTAACAAGTTTCATTACAGCATTATCGTTAGCTCAAATATTAGAATCAAGGTATCTTGAATGCAAAAACAAATTGCATAATAACTAAATGAAAATACTGGAAGAGCAGTGACTTCTCAGAAGCACAGAAAATCTTATGAACTTGAAAAAGAAAAACAAGACACCATCAGAAGGGATATTGCTCATCTAAACCCAAACGGCGTGGGTGTCTCCTTTATTCCTAGCTCTAGACTCCACTTTAATCTAAGCAGCGTAAAGGATAAACACTCCTCAAGCACTTAGAAGGCAGGCTGGGTTGCTGCAATCATCAACTCTTAGCTATTTAAACATGCTGAGACACTGAAGTGTGCTGAGAAGAAGCATCGTGAGTGGAATAGAGGAGAAGAGCTTAGCCCAACGCCTGATGTAAAGGAACTGGAGGCCTCCACACTGAAATCCCAGATACTGTTGTGCTGCCCCACAATTGCAGATATTCCCTGGGGTACCCAATATCTGAATCTGAGATTTAAATACAACTGAAAAAGTTTTACTTGAAGTATTGTATTACACAAGTTAGATGATTTCTGTAGAGTAATCTTAGTAAAATGAACATGCTGAAAGTCAAGTCTTTATGCACACCAATCTCTAGGAGTAGAACAGAGTGATTGCATTAAAATAACAGGACACATCTTCATAAATAGCTCTGTGACGTCCTCTCCTTTAGCTCTCCTGAAGTCTAGACCATAAAGTGAACCTGTGCTTTGTTCATGCCTCCCTCCACTGAGTATACTCCCCTTCATTACACTATCCCACCACTCCTTTCATAGAACGAAGACCAAAAGCTCATGGATCTTGTCAGAGCTTACAGCTTACCTTATTAACATACAATGCAGAGCTCATGCCTTGAGATCTTTAACCCTTTGTTATGATATTGTTCAAAGCAATAAAGTATACACATCACAGAAACAGATCACCATATCGTCCAGAATTGAGTCTATAATACCCAGGGCTACCAAACTCCCACATAACAGAATTCCCCACCTAGTTTGCAATTTGGTGAACAGCAGTGTGCGGCTTTTTCCTTGGGTGTATTGTTCAAATCAAGTTTATAATGCGATCAGCCAGCATAGTACAGACAGTGTTAAGTATTATTAATAATATTATTATTATGCAGAATTTATTTAGCGCCAACAGTTTGCGCAGCGCTTTACAATATAAGGAAGACATTACAATCACAAGACAAGATGGTTAGGAGGGCCCTGCCCATGAGGGCTTACAATCTAAAAAGGGAGGGGCAAGTGATACATGAGGAGGTAGC